TAAACTGTTTTTGTAAACAGGGCACGAGCTCTGTTATTGTTAATGTCTACGATTCACCGGGTGTGTTCATTGTTAAAGTCTGCACACACCACTGAACACGGACTGACAATACTGTGAGTGGGTTTTGCTTTCGAACATTTCTACTCTGAATTTTCTTGATTATCGTTTTAATATTTTTCATTAATACACAACAAAATTGCCACTTTTCTTAAGTATTAAGAATAAAATTAAAATTTGTGAAAGTGCAAGGATGTGTCAATCAAACGCGTCCCGAAATTTGAAGTTTCAATAACTTCGAGATGAAATAAGATTTTTATTATATTTTAGTATGAAATGCTATAGCAACATATAAGTCATGAAATTATACAGAAAATTTGAGAAAATATTAACTTCAAATCTGTGTCCAAGCACCTTTAATGCGTCAAAATATCAACAACAAAAATACATTGAATATGCCTTTGATGGATGAATTGATCGTGTGGTGAACTCGATGATTTTTAGGTAGATAACCAGCAGGCATAATTCAATTATGAACCTCTACAGATAGATTAAACGCTGGAGAAGACTTGCTATTATATGATGGCTGTATCAGTTACAAAGATGTATGTATTTCTACACGTTAATATAAAATTTGATACCTAGTATTGCTGAAAATTCAGTTCATTCCGATATGCATGTAGCAAAACTCTGCCAATAGTAATTTAGTTAATTGACAAACATCGTTAAGTTGTAGATTTGTTAGTATTGTTATTAGGAATCAAGTCTTTACATTCCTGTACATAAAAGAAAAGTTTGTTAAAGAACAGCATCTGGTGTCTATAACTAATAGGCATTCCATATGTTTTACAACGAAAAGGATTTCCATGTCTGAAAAATTCTTACATGTATATAAAATGATCCTTGAATCTAACTGATGTATAATTATATGTATTGTTTGCGTGTGAAGGGGATAAACTTGCATTTCTAAAACCATGGTACATGTATATACTTAAATGACTCATATTTTACGAAAAATTGACCTCTTAGTTTTATACATTTCTATTTAACATAGAAATTGTCTTTTTAAATAAAACTTCTGAAAATTGACAATTATTGTTCCCTGGGTGACCTCGTCCCCCACCCATGCTCTGTTTGTAACCATTAGGCCATTCGTTTTTTAAGGTTTGCTGTACTTTTCAGATGTAACACCTCGTTTGGACAAATTCAGTGTTATCTAAACTTAGATTTTACATATCAGATGTATATGTTTCGGAATTTTTCTAACACTTTTCCTTTGCATGATGACCGCTAACTTTGAATACCGCACACCGTTGCAGAAGTATTGGAAGTACGGAAACACAAACCAAATAGCTGTTATGAATAATGTCAGCAACAGAATATATTTTCCAACAAAGCAAACACCAAATAAACATATAGCTTTCTTGAAAGTCCACAAAACGGGGAGTACAACAGCTCAGGGAATCTTCCTTCGCTACGGACTCAAAAGGAATTTAACTTTTGTTGTTGCCAATAATAAATCAACTTATCCTAATGTTATCAGTATAGAAGAATCAGTTATACCAGGATACAATATCATTCCACCTCCTAAAGGTAAAAGGTACGAAATATTGTGTTTCCATGTTGTTTATAACCGTTCTGCTTTTGAAAGAATCATGCCAAATGATACAAAATACATAGGAATTGTCCGAGAACCGTTTCTGCAATTTAAATCCATCATTCGGGATTTTCATTATGGTGAACATAACAGACATGCTCAATTCCTTCGTCATTTTCTTCAGAATTCCACTCTGTCTGAAAACAAGGAAAACAACAATCCAGCAACTTCCGTTTTGAATAATAGAATGGCCTTTGAATTTAATTTTCCCTTGCACCTTTTTTATTCTTTCAGCTCGCACGAGGTGAAGCAATATATAGAGAAACTTGATAAGGAATTCGACCTTGTCATTATAAACGAGTATATGGACGAATCAATCGTACTTTTAAGACGAATGTTAAACTGGAATGTTAAGGATGTTCTATTTGTCAATCTGAATGTTAATCAAGAAAGTTCAGACTTCGATGAAGTTGGACTGAAAGAAGTTCGTTTATATCGACAGTATGCTAAACTCGATCACGAATTATACCATTTCTTTCTAAAACGTCTATGGAAACAAATTCATTCCTATGGACATGATATTCTAGAAGAAATTTCGTAATATAAATTGTTAAGAAAGAACTTGGAAAACTTTTGCAATAGCAAAGAAACACCAATATTGATTGTAGAAGAATCGAGATGGAGTTCGTCATTTCCTGTGACTCAAAAGGACTGTAGTTTTGTGAGACAGGGAGAGTTTTGGTATCTTTACGAAATTATGAAGCAGCAATATTCCTAGACAACTGAAAAATGACCTCCTACCTACCCCCCCCCCCCCACCATTTTGCCAGTCAACAGGAAATGACGAACTCCATCCTCGATTCTTCTACAATCAATATCTGGTGTTTCCTTTGCTATTGCAAAAGTTTTTAAGTTCTTTTCTCAACATTTATCTCACCAAGTAGGAGCATCTTTCGTCTTGAATATCTTTGTCATGCAATGTCATTTGTGATCGAGTTTAGCATACTGTATATAAACGAACTTCTCTTATTGAATAACTTACTGAGCCAGAAGTCTGAACTTTATGCATATTTGGATTATATCTCCATTCATGAATTCTACTAACAGAAACATGCCTAATTTCCCCTGTTTAACCGGTTTTTCTGCTATATATACTGAGGCATGGGCCCATCCCTGTCAGTGCGGGAAATTTAATTTACCTATTACCAGCTGCCCGTTGTCACCACTTGAAAGGTAATTTTCTTAATCTATTAAATTTTTGTATTTTATTTATTAAGTCCAAGTTATAAGCTCAAGTATTTTTCATATTTTTGAAAGAAGGGTATTTTAAACTATGAAAATGACGTTTTGGGCTTAGTACACTTAAATTTTCTTATTTTTGAAGTGAATAGGAAATAAAAGTATTTTGTCTCAGAGTCTGTGTGTATTATGACATAATTGTATATATGTTTTTTTTTTTTTTGTATTTGTAGATCTGCCATTGCTTTTTCTTTTCCTAATAAATTTATAAACTGAACCTGCGTTTTCCATCTCCGCTTGGTTACATATGAATTTAATTTGCAAGTGCATGTGTAAGTGTGTTCTCAGCCAAATGCTGGACAATCTTCGATTCCATGTTTTTAGCTCTACTGGTCAGAGACCAGAAGAGCTTATGCGATAGTAAGGTGTCCGTCGTCCGTCCGTCTAGCTGTCTGTCTGTCCGTCTGTCTGTAAACAATTTTTCAAAACGCTACTCCTCCTACAGTTTTGGTTTGATTGCAATATAACTTGGCACACAAGTAGACTACACTAAGATACATAATTTAGTGCATTGGTTTTTGATTTCGATGAATGGTGTTGCCATGGTTACTAAAAATAGAAATTTCTGTGATATTTCTTTAAAAGGTTACTCCTCCTTCAGTTTTAGTCTGATTTCAATATAACTTGGCGCACAAGTAGACTACATTAAGATACATTATTCTATTTATTGCTGCGTGTTGCAAAGTTTCACATCCAAGTGCTACTTTTCCTTTGTAATATGTACAGACCAGTAGAGCTACAGTCTCATCAGAGACTTCTGGTTATACAAGCTTTACAAATAAAAGTCACCTGACGTTAACACAGACGATAAAAATAATGCGTTTTATATATATGCAAAGGTTTGCTTTACAGTGCAGCTGAGATTGTCAAAATTTTCTTTACAGGAGTTTTTAATAAATCTTTTGATTTCTGATACAAAAATCATACACGAACACGACTCACTGATGTCGTTGAAAAGTTTATATAAATATTTTTCTATGTACAGGGGGGTTGGTCCAGAACTGAAAATGGGAAGGCTCATTAAAACATCGATAGGCTACGTCTTTATACTTGTAGTATTTCAAATAGAGTTTTCAAAAATAATACATATATTTGCATTAACAATACAGAAAATTTTTATAATGTTTTAAATAAAATTTAAACTATTAATTCTTAGTTTAAGGTAAGATGAAAACTGAATGATAACCATTAGTCGGTCCATTGGTATGTTTTCTTTTAACAGAATATAATAGTTTATGCCAATGTAAAACATTGATGACAATCTTATTACCACTTGAATATATCTCTTATGTTTTGTCAATGCATCCTTACTTTAAGGAAAACGGTAATCATAATTTATATTTAAGATAATAGATGATTCATTATAATTCAGGACCCATATGACAAAAAGAGAATATAAACACATTTGTATAGAAGGAAAATGCCTAAAATATAGGTGAAAAAGAACAAACACAATATACATATACTTGTTTATACATATGACAGTGCATAAAATAAGGAAACATTTCAGTGTTTAAAAAAAATACCCCCCCCCCTCCCGGGGCCATGGTTTGAACAAACTTGAATATTCACTACATGAGTCTGTATATTAATCTGTAGCCCTAAGGTTCTCGAACACAATGTTTTTAGTTTTATCTCAATACAATTCATTGTCAAGTATTGACCCCCTTTTATGGTTCCGTGTTTTGATGACTTTTCTAATATTTGAAAACTTTCACATATTTTTTTTTGTTTTGTTTTTTAAGCTCAGTGGTTAATGATTATTCAAAATTTATTTTTTAAATAAGCAAACCCTATTTCTTAATAATCTCACTTTAAAATGTATCTATGGTCCTTTTATTTAAACAAAATTGAATCTCCACGTAAGAAAGTTTTGCAATACAATTAGTCGAAAATGACCTGCTAATGTGCAAGATGAACAGAGCCCAGAAAGACTGACAACGGAAAAACTTTGACCAGAAAAGCTCACTTGATCCTTTGGCTCAGTTGAGCTAAAGAATAGGAGTGTAGCAGATGGTCAATATAATATACGCAGCAGAAGCATGTGACGTAAATGAAAAAAGAAGATATTCATACTCTTTATTTTCGTTCATTTATTTGTTTGTAAACAGCTGCTTCATATTGATCGAAGAAACTACCAGTTATGATTGTTTTATGTAATACTTTATTAATTTTCTTGAAATATTATATTTAAAGCCAAAGTTAGTATACAAAAAATGCTTTTTATGAGATCAATAGCTACATGTACTCGATAAGCAAATTTACCGAACCCTTCGGGTTTTTACGAGGACTAGCTCTCCCTAAACGTGTGTATTTCTGGGATTTTTAGTTACACTAGTGAATAGACATATATTTGTGACCAACTAAAAATAAATGTGAACAAAGCTCTTACAAGAGAGAGATACACATATTTCTCAATCTTATTTGTATACTACTGTAAATATGTATTTCTTTAGTAGGATTTTAAATCTAATTAGTTTCGATTCCTACATGTATACTTAGGAATATATGAAAATCAATGCAATGATAAATTTCTAATTACAAAAGGAGAAGGAGTCAAGAATAATGAAAAATCAGATCCTCTTTAAATAAGAACAATTTGTGAATTGCTAAATTTTATTCATTGTGTTATTCAGCTGGAAAGAAAGAAAATCTTACTAAAGCGTACTGTTTAAAATAATCAAAACACACCACTGATCTTGCACTTAATAATCATATGAAGGTTGTTCGATACACTGCATGTATGTATCATTAACTTTTGATTTAGCATGTCATCTCATGGTCACCTTCAGCCACATATTTTCAGGTTTAACGAGGCCTTCGTTTGTCAACTTAGGTGGTATCTACGATGAAAATAAACACGTTTAGAATATTTTTTTTAAATTTTCAATAAAAATATTAAGGTATGAATAAACTTTGTTAATACCAATAATTATCATATAAAACATATGTATTGGCATGAAAAGAAATCAATGTATCCATTAGTTGTCGAATTCAAATAGCAAGCAAATAAACAAACTATTGTACACACACACACATACACACACAGAGGCCCATAGAACGCAGAAGTCCCCTTTTTTCTAAGTGTAGTGTTTTGCTATAGTAAATTATCCTTTAGATGCTGGCTGGTCCCCTTACTTTTTGATGTTGTAAGGTCGAGCACTGGCAAATTCCAGGATCTAGACAGTAAAATACCTTTTTTTAAGCTTGTCAGATAATTTTGGGAAGTTGCGAACCCCCCCCCCCCTCTTGGTCAGTTTAGGTTTTTCTCCTTTTCTTGGGAAGTTGGCCCCCCCACTTTTGAAACCATTGCTACGGGCCCGACATACACACAAAATATATACATTCTCACCATGTTTAAACATTTCTTACTTTCTCGTTTTTAAAGTCAGCATATCGTAAATTCCATGGTCGTTCTATGATGGCCTTGTTAGCAAATACAACCTATCATTAGGTTGTATGTAGACTGACATATTTAAAACCAATTGTTAGGCCTTTGTTTTTAAATTTGACAACGGATTACTCCGTCTACCTGATCAACCGGGTGTGACAGGTCGACATGGGTAGCTCACTCCTCCTAGGCACCTGATCCCACCTCTGGAATTTCCGGGGGTCCGTGTTTCATTTTCCGTCCACTGATTTGTATTGTTTGTATTTTTTTTTATATCGATCACTGTTCGTTATCTTCATCTTTCTCGATATTCAGTAATACTCACATTCGTTTTGGAGCATGTTGTTAATTCAAACTCTCTGAGAACTTTGGTCAAGGCTACTTTGATCTCGGTCAGAGCCAGTCTTTTTCCGATACATATTCTGGGACCATACCCGAAAGGCATGAACTGATATGGATTCATCTTGGCTTTATTTTCCGCTGAAAATCTAAAGTAGAACAATGTAAATATAAACCATATAGAATGAAACTTCCTTCATTTCTTATTTTCTTGTGTGTTTACTGTATATGTTCCTTTGTCTTGGTCAATCAGTATCAGTCTTCGTAGTTTCAGAAATGTTTAAGTCAGAGAAATTAGACAATTATGTAGGTCCATCTGTCATGTTGAAAATTTCAAATTTAAATTCATTGATTGTGGGTAAATTCAAAGTATACAACATGATAACTGTGTTTGAAGTTATATATATATATTGGATAAACATGTGTATCCATTCAACAAATTTAAATTTTACTCGACTCATTCGAGGTGTCAGCGAAGATACCCTATATATATCATGAATAATGAGAAAGACCGCATGTATCTATAAATCGAGTCTGAGATAGATACAAAGTAAATATTTTTGTAGAGTTTGAAAAAAAGTTGATTTTTTAATTTTAAATGAAGAATTTTTTTGTGAAACCTTTCTGGGTCGAATTTTGCAGGATCTTCCCAGAGTTTATCGGAATGGTGTAAAATCCAAATCGGTATTGCAATCTTCATGCCTTTAGGTATCTTTAGTCCATTTACTTCAGTATCCTGAATACATGTTCTATCAGTCCTGAAGGAAAATAACTGAGAAATATATCTCCATCATAGCCGAGGTATATGTACATGTACTGTACCTGTCGACGATATCGTATTAGAAATTGAAATTGAAACCTCAAGGCCTTACCAAATAAAGACAATCAGTTAATAAATTTCCTCCAATACATAAACATATTTTCAATAAAGAAATTAAAAACCTTAGATATACTCGTCAGGAGCCAATAAGTATAAAAATTTTAGTAACAGATCTAAAAGAACTTTAACTGTAGAAATACCAAAATACAAACAATATTAACTAGCAATGTAACACAATGCTTCCATATCTATTGTTAAATGTGTCTTCGCTAACAGCATTTGAGACTTTTTAAATTAAATATATTCAGACTTTTTACTGCGGTCCTATCTTTGATGCGGAAGTACGATTTTAAAGACCCTTACAGGAATGCTTACATAACAATGAAATCTGGAGATAACGAACAGTATTCAAGCTCATAAGTCTACTCAAACAAGTACAAATCAGGAACAGAGCAAACACGGACCCGTGAAACATCAGAGGTGGGACTGGGTCCCATGGAGGAGTGCCGACCGGTCACACCCGCCGTGTGTTCTCTTTGTCAAAATCAGGGGAGGGGGGGGGGCGTAGGCAATTCAGTGCGTAAATAATGGTCTAACAATTAGTATGAAAAGCATCGGTCAGCATTTGATTTAATGATAGATTATATTTGCTGATAAGGTCATTATATCTACCATAAAACTTGCTAAATGATAACTTTCTAATTTAATCAAGTCCGTCAACTCTTCTAAAAAATATATATTTCTAACCAAATAGTTGTTTTCCTCAACAAAAAAAAAAAGAGTTCTACTTTATGTTCCTTTGCAAAACTTTGGACTTTCCTCTATTAGTCATGCACTGAATTTATTGCAAAGATTCAAAATATTGTCCTTTACAACCATTTTGATATTCCTTATGCTGAATTTTTATCATGTATAAAAATTCTGCTTAAGAAACATCAAAATTTTTGTAATGGACAATCTATTTCATCTCCACAATTATCTTTCTCTGAATAGAAAATAACCTTTAATTCACTTTAAAAAATTAAAAACATTCACTCAAAAATGCTTCTTGTAAGTCAGGTTTAAAACGGTCTTGTGAAGAAGTCAAAGAAAGTTAAATGTACGAACGAGATCAGAAAGATATTCAAACAGACCATGCTTATGGTTATTGGACATCACTTAAAATACGCTTCATTTAGAAAGGAACGTGAGGTCATGCTGTACATCAAACTCTAAAACAAGCAAAAACTTCCGACATGATAAAATATACCTTTGTCTAGTTTACAAAATTACAGAATGTAGTCAGTCAATGTTACCTTGGAACTACAGGGAATATTCTCATCGTTTCATTGATGCACATGTCCATATACTGTAACTTTCCGATGTTGTCATAGCCTGGTTCTTCCTGTAAGTAAAGTGTGCATTCGGTGACTGAGTCAAGCAGATTCTGTATGAAACCTGATGATCTACATCTTCATAGCCCAGAACGCGCAAGACGATTCCATTGTAGTTTTTTTTACAGCCTTTTTTCTTCAACAATCGTTATTTAACCAATGCCAGTGACCCATTCCTTTGCTAATCTATGCCAGTGGTCCATTCGTTAGCTAACCTTTGTCAGTGGTCCATTCGTTAGCTAGCATTTGTCAGTTGTCCATTCGTTGGCTAGCCTTTGTCAGTGGTCCATTCGTAAGCCATCATTTGCCAGTGATCCATTCATTAGCTACCATATATCAGTGATCTATTTGGTAGCTAACCTATGCCAGTGATACATTCGTTAACCAAGTTTTGCCATATCCATCTGCCAGTGACCAATTTGTCAAAATTGTCTCAGGAACTTTTCTTGTGCTTCTCTTTTTTCCCCACCCCACCCCCTCCTACTTTGAAAATCAATGTTACTTCTCTGAATAGACCATCTTTCTTTTGCGATATATCTGTACAGAAATCAAATAAGCTCGAAAAATCTTTTTTTTTTTCAAGACAAACACTTTTTTTTACTTACATCACCTAGTTCTAACACGATTTCTTCGTACACCCGCTGTTGAACTTCTGGGTGGAGAGCCAGCATGTACGCAAAAAAAGACAACGTGACGGCGGTGGTCTCATAACCGGCAAAGAAGAACAGCAGGCAGTTAGCGATGATCTCAGAAGTAGTTAATCCTGGAAATACATGTAAAGTTCTTTTTTTACCCTTATAGATATATCACTATATAAATACTATGGATGAAAAGTCCAATAAATCAGATATTGAGGCAAGAGGGTCAACAATTATAAGTAATATAGGACTGTAGCTACCTATTCATCGTCAACATTTTGGGACTGATCAAATACACACAATTTGTCTTTTCTTATAAAGATGGTATCCAAACTTTTCAACAAGTGGAAGGTAAATCAAAGCAATTACTTACTGAGATTCAGGCAACATTTATAAATAATTTGTTGAATCCTCCGCCAAAATGTTAGGTTTACCCTTCGGGCGCCATTTTTGTTTTTCAGGACCAACAAATCATAAATAACATTCATTCTTAGAACCGTCAATAAGTGCATATTTCCTCGTCTCAAAATTATACAAAAGTTTAAGCTCTATCAAAATGTCAACAGACACACTAACTTCTGAATTATAATCTTTTTAAATCAAAATTTAAATTTGATAATTTAAGCATGGCCAGGTAAGGTCAGAGGGTATATTTATGTCACGCAATGTGATACAATATCGAGCTTGAACAATAATGAAGACACACCTCTTTTTTCGTCCGTTTCCTGTGGATTGTCATTATGGGCGTCCCTCATCAACTGGATGAAATCTATATATTCCTGTCAATCAAATTCGAGAATAAAACATTAAAGGCAAAAATACACTCCACAAATTTCTTTTTTTATAAAGTATTTATGATACAACATTTTATGACACCAATGCATCCGAAATAATACCTTTAAAATTTATTTCCTATATAAATCTCTTGTATACTAAAAATCTGAAATTTTCAAGGTTTTTTTTTCACTGAGCAGTCCAAAATAATACGGTGTTTGACAGGTCGGTTATATGTTGAACCAGTCTCGACTCTCGAGAATTCGAAGTTGGACTCTTTATGATGCCTTTCAGGTCACACCAGTCGGTTAGGTTGGGCCGCTATATGACCTTTTTCTTAAGTCACATTAATCGAGATCATCCGACACGAGAACATGCTAGATCTATGTTTAATATGCATTCATTATTGTTTGATAGTTACGGAAATGACCAAGCTAAATTCGCATTGCAGGTAAATGAAATTTACATTAAAAAAAATTTGTCATCTGCATGGCAAATAAGGACAGGCCAGCGCAAGATTTGTAATGGAAACAATTTTTAAGGTATAATAAAACATACTGACTGGATTTTCGGGAAAAAGGCGATTTGCCGGATTCTCGAACCAAATTGTTGCCCTCAACCTAACGGCCTCAAGCAAAAACTTTGGTTCTTGGGTCCGTACGCACGCCATCGAACCCAGTTAATAAATGTATCATTAGTATGTAAAGTATGTTAATTTTTTTAAGAGTACGACTATATTTCATACAAATTTTATATTTTCAAAACCATCACCTTTTTACTAGGATCTCTTGTGTTAAACTCTTTTTCGATTTCTTTCTTGAAAAACGCAGATGCCTCCTTGTTCAAGAAACTAACTTTGAAAAGTTTAGCAATTGGCCTCGAAAGTTCGGGAAATATAACTAGAATTGAAGGTATTATGAAGTAATATTTCATTCAAATACGAGCTTCAATTAAATTGGAACAAAGTTTTATTAAAACTAGACTTCATTTCAACAAATAAATACATTGTAGATAAATTGTCTGTCAAAGGTTTTACTTACAAGCAAGAAACAGTAGAGGCGAGCTGAGTGGTACATTTATAAGTTGTGAGACCATTCGCGCAAATTTGTCCTCGGGGTCTCTTTGTGAATCAATTTTGATTCCAAATGCAGTGGAGGCAATGACGTCAATGGTATAACATCCGAACAACCTGTATATTAAACGATCAACACATATCCAGAAAAAAAGGTAACCGACCTACGAATTTTAGAAAAGATAACTTAAGTGATAGAATATGAATATTTAACTCTTCATTAGATCTTTATTATGATAGAACATGTGATGATGCTGTTACAGTTCAATAATAAGCATTTGAACATTTCTGTACCACATCTTTACTTAATTCGAAGCAAGGGTCTGTCAGTGTCTTCCACAGTACCTACCTCACGAAGTCTACTTCATCGTTCTCTTTGATTTTTCTTTTAATGTGTTGAACAAGTGCATTGCCAGCTTCATTTATCAACGAGTCCATCTAATTGTATGAAAGATAACCGTTATCAAAATTACATTGTTTGATATTCTGTGTTTATTTGTCTACGCAATGAATAACGCTCGACCAACATCATTCTTTTCTCATTTCAACTTCTCCGTGCTTTGTCTTTCGGATATTACATCCTGAAGTAGTACTGTAAAATTCAAGTTTAGCAACTGCTCTCTAATAATTCCAACTGGATACTCACTGAAAATTCTACTTATCTGGTATACTAGTATGAATTTTTTTCATGAAAGCTCATATTCCAGTGCTATTTCATTAAGACTTGCTATTTTATAGAACGTGGTACACTTATTTCATAAATAGAAATTATAAAAAGGAGATAAAATAATATTCCTCCATACAATAATGTGCATCAGTATCTTCGATTTCTATATATATATTACAAAAAAGTGTTTAACACGGTAATATTAACTTGGTAGAAGTTAATTGCTACTAGGCTTGCGGCATAACCCGCTACCCACCTTCCTGAGTTTTCCAGATGTAAAAGTAGGGGATAATATTGTTCGCGAACTTTTCCATGCTTTTCCCTGCTGGGCAGTCAGATTTTCTTCCACGTCACCACTGAAACCCCGTGGAACCTACATACATACAAAAAACTTTGTAAATATAATTTTTTTTAAAATAATTATATTTGAAAGAAAATCTTAGAAATGCATTTGTCAATTTCTACACCAGAACAATTATTAAAAGCCATAGTCTTTACTAGAAGTTCAAGCATTTCTGTTCAAACTGTCTACTATCTTTCTGAATCATTTATACTCTTTATATTTCCGACCTATGTGACAGCTACATATACAGCCAAATACTGGACATTACATATTAGAATGAAAAGTTTAACCGATTCATGTTTATATTTTTCTCTGTTTGAGACCAAACCAAGGGGGTTACATCTGTGAGAATAAGGTAATGGGGGTGAAGATGGGGTTCAATGATCTCTTATGTTAACCAAACATACCGCTCGATCTGTGAAGTTTTGGAATTGCTTGACAAGAATCTCTTTTAATATGTCCGTATCTGCCACAACCAACATTGGTGATCTACCGCTAAAGTATCTGTTATAACCGAACATCTCAGATAATAAAATTCATAGCTGCACAGTTGTTAGGTTGATATAGTAAATGGAAATTTAAATTCACAAAAATGTTGAAAATCATTAAATTAAAAAACGAAATACCCAAATACATCTCCATATTCCCTCCACCACATCATGTCGGCTTCCGCAAATCCCTGGAATAAATTTTTTGTTATTGTTTACAAGTTTTTCTTCTTATTTTCCTTTAATTTTCGATGTTTACATGAAGTAAAGACACAACTTTGAATTTCTAAATTATCGATTTATTGGCCAATCCAAAAAAAAATTCTTTCTTGTCCTCTTAAAGTTACCTTTTTAGCGATGGTCATGTGATTTCCAAACAAAATATGAGGGGGTGGCCCTTTGACCCCCATTCTCTTGAAAATCCCGAAATTCCATTTCACGTATCTTTAAAATACAGAGAATAAAAAAAATGTTTTTGCTTATTTGTTTTGTTTGTTCGATCTATTTTCATTTAAAACAGCTTATTTTCAGTTGCATTCTATGACATGTATTCTCGTCTTTGATATATCAAGTGAAAAAAAAGATTTAAAAGTCATTGATAAACGTGCATCACTATAGTAACTGTGAAATAAAAATAATTGACCTAAATGTAATAAAAAAAAGTTTTATTATATAAAAGTCTGATATAGATTTCCTATTTACTCATAGAGTAAAAGATTGCCCGGATAGGCAAGTAAAGCTGAAAAGAACTCTATGGCTCAAAAATCTCGACGAAGGAAACATAGATTCCTGGCGCTACAAGACAAGAATAAAACTGAATAGCCCATTGAAATTCAATCATTTTAATTATTAATTTTTTTTATTTAAAAAAAATTGAGCAGCATGAAAGGTGTCAGATACATGTATTTATATTTCCACATTTTCAGATAAAGTAAAATTTCAAATAATATTCAATAAAACTGTCATATTTGGTATGTTAAAAAATCGAAGTAAGCAAGTACTCGCAGAAAGAGCGGATCCAAGAATTTTTCATAAAGGAGGTGGGTTGGGGTCTAAACCAACCCCCCCCCCCCCCAAAAAAAAACCTCCGAAAAAATAGTGCCAAAACATGTACATGCATTTAAAAAAATCATTTCTCTGGGGGTAAGGGATGACACAGTCATCTCACGGACAAAACACTTTCCTTTATAAAAATGACGGTGCGTCGATTTACCCAAAAGGACCCAAAAGAACCCAAAAGGACCCAAAAGGAACCCAAAAGGAAATTAAAAGCAACCCAAAAGGACTAAAATTAAGGGGATAACTGGCTATTCAATGAACACTTTCACGCTTTATTGAAAATAAAACAGTAGTTTTGGGGGAAAAGTGTGTGGTTGGGGTGGGGGTATCCCCTTCCCCCACCCCCACCCCCGAAACCATATGCCTAGAATAAGTCATAAAATAAAATTTACTGCTTCAGTCATATAGTAAGATATGTTAAAATAGAAGGGGAAATATAATAATACTTTGTTATTTTCAGCTCAAATAAAACAAAGCATATCTAACCAGATTTAGTGTTTGACGTGTTATATAAGGCGTTATGTTATTTCTCAAAGAAAAGTTGCAACAGTATAAATTTATGTTTTTGCCAAATTTTATGTAAACTTATGATGTAATATTCATTATTTAATTCAAATTATTAATTTTCAGTATATCATAATACATGTGTATATTCATTTTGAGTCCTTTTGGGTTCCTTTTGGGTCCTTTTGGATTCTTTTGGGTTCCTTTTGGGTTCCTTTTGGGTCCTTTTGGGTTCTTTTGGGTCCTTTTGGGTAAATCGACGCGCCCTAAAAATGACTCTTCTTACCAACGGAGGAGGAGTCCATGTTTCTTAAAAGGGTCCAAAGTATTTTTTTTTTAAAAATTTAATATACATAGATTCAATAACACTGAAAATTCTTCGGGGTGAAGACCCCTCTTTCCCTACTGGATTGCATATGCTTGGTGTATTTCTTTTTAACACATATTGAAAAGGTGGTTTTGTTAGTTCAAGAGGCGTCTGAATAAAAAAATAAATGCATGTTTATGTCTAACAATTACACAAATATCTACATTTCTTTGATTATTTTCTTGTTCCAACATAAGCAAGGCAAAAATTAAATCCAATGATGGACGAAACTACCGTAAATAATAATGTCATTGACACTGCATTTAAACATAAAATGTTTACAAGAATGATTCTAAATTTAGCTTTATATGTTGAAAAAAAAATATGTAATAATACTTACACGAGAAATAGGAAGAGGACACAGACAATAAAAATTAACAGACCGGTAATCAAGGTTCCTAATGTCACCACCATTCCCTCTCAGTATTTTCAGCGTAATAAGTGACAGTTATTGCCTGATTTGTAGATCTGTCTACTAGATTTTAACCTGTTTAAGGTGAAGGTTAAGATATTCAATGTATAATGAAGGGATTTTGAACAATTTTGAATCATTTTAAACTAGTTAAAAATGCATTGCTAGATAATAATGAAAGTGAAATGATCCAAATTCACATGACTGATAACATATAAGAAACTTGTCATTTCGCACTTTTAAAGTTTTTGAAGAGTTATCTGCCCTTGATACAAAGAAGAACATTTTAATTTCATCAAAATATCTGTGGTAAATGATTAATTTTATTTCATATTTTAATAATGAGAGAGTGTTTGCATATTTTCACCAAAAGCTTTTTATGAAATTCAAAATACTTTTTACAATATCTTAATAACACATGCTTTGCCCATAGACTTCAATGTAAAATTCAAGGTGCAATTAATTTGACAATAATCATTTTTTTTAAATTTCTTTGGTGGAGTGTTTTTATTTCACAACACCATCAAAATGATACCATAATTAAAAATATAGGACCGTTCATTTATTAAATACAAAATATGGTCGTTATACATTGAATACCTTAAAAGGTAAACGAATATTTGTTTCTGTGTGATTAATACACATTTTAGCCAATTTTTGTCTGTATTATTATATAATATTGTCCTTTTTTCAACATGTTTTCAAGATAATAAAAATTCAGGTAAAGATAAACTTGTACAGCTGACAGTAATGTGGATTGCGTGTATACGTACTTACAAGTATATTTGCAATATCAACATTGTAATCAATACCCTTCTTCCTTGTCTATCTATATATAGCTTAATATGATTGAGATTGAAGATCGGGACAATGTTTGTCTTTTTTTTTAATAACAGTGAACTGATGAGGAAAAATAAGAAGAAACATTTGATGGTTGATAGCTAATCATTTGAAGATATGACATGACCTCGATTCAAAATCATTCAAACACAGTCTGACTAAAACCACAGCCTATTATTTCACTTCGTTGTGAAATAGAAGGGGATGGGCTTAGTTAGACTGATTCGAACAAATTTATTTTTGTCCATTGTTTAGCTGGAACAAAGCTTATGACCAGAGGGTTTGTACAGAACGTCAAAATTCAAAGTTTGTTTTAACTCCAATTATTTTCCAAAAGACATATAATTTTTTTCAGTAAAATACATATAGTTCAATCTACCTTTCAAGGTAAAATTTGGCAGAATTAGTCTTTTAACTTGACAATTTTATTTAAGAAATACCTGTCTAGTTTTCCGGTTTAAATGATGTGATCAATTAGAGTCACGTGATAATTTGCATAAATGCAGGTTTTCATGCATAAAATCATCACATGAGAAAACTGTTTGATCACCATTATAAATAAAAAAGAGGTTATTCCTTATATTACATGTTTATCTGATCCTTGATTTAAAGAAAATGATTTTCCTTTATATTAATTCAATAATTAGAAAAATACATAATTTTGAACATGTATATAACACTACTAGTGAGTATGGCGATTCATTTTAGGCTGCCTTTGTAGTTGCATTTGGCAGCTTCTCGTTGCACACACCACGGTAGCTCTCACTAAAGTGATACCATATTATACGTTCATCACTACAAGTGCTCACTAGATCACTTAATTTCGGGAAATCAGCGAAGAAACTGTGACGATATTAATAAGTTAGTGATTGTATTCCTCATAATGTGATTCTGGAAAACTTAATATACACACTGTGAAAGAGAAATTGATTTTATCAAAATGATCCGTAATATCTGTTTTATTCTTCATTTGGGATGTTTAGTTTCTGTAGTTTTATCCATAAGTATCGGAGTTGGTAAAAGTAAGTAATGAAGTAGATAAAACTTGATTCAAATTCACATTACTGATAAACTGACACAAATATCTTTTTTTCTGATCCTTTTGCAATTTTTGATTAATAAGGATTATATACATATACATACATACATACATATATATATATATATATATATATATATATATATATATATATATATATATATATATATATATATATATATATATATATATATATATATATATATATATATATATATAAATTAAAATGAATATTTGGTTGTAAGTGAAGTTATGCCTCTCCTTGACAAAAAAAAAATCATTGAATCAGACAGGTTTGCCTTCTATGCGTCTTCATAGGCTGTATTTCCATCCAAAGCTTTTTTATAGATCTGGCACTGTTAAGTCTCTTTTAAATTACGAACGGCTATAATGTGCTGTTTAAAAGTATTACTCAGGGCGAACTATTTAAAATGCCACCTTAAACTGTGCATGTGAAGATTTGGCCACAAGTATATTACATGTATATACCTCTCACACTTGTAATGTATTTTGATTCAACTCTACGTTCACAAAAGTTGATGTGATTAGTTACATGCAAAGATAAGTTTCCCTCGTTTACTGCTTACTAGTATACTAGTATTTCTCATATGCTTTTGGGATACAGATATGATATGGTTTTGTATTTTACCAATGGGTAAACAGGTCTGGTAAAAGTTTAATGTAACATCGGAAGTTTTCTTTTGAGGATTTTCTTTCTTCAGTTTTCTTGTCATTTAGAAATGCCGTAGATCTTATGTCTTTCGTCTACTGAAGCTTCCCCAGAGTCACCGGAAAAAGGATGTCTGAGTTTAATACGTAACTTGATGACAGAACCTCTTTCATGCATAATTGTTTCAGCGTCTTTAATGTGGGACAACCCTCCCCCCTTAATCTTCTTAAAGAAGTTTAAACGAACTCCACAATGTTCAAAGAAATATGACGATCGTTATAAGTATATAAAGGCAAGTCAACCAAATTTTGAACTAATAAATCTGTGACCATAAATTGTCACAATAGTTATACTAGTTGTTTTTGGTTTATTGTACATGAACTTTTTTGTCTTGAATTGAACCCTTTATACGTCAAAAGATCAACAAAAATTACATTGAATATGCCTTTTATGGGTGAATTGATAGTGAGGTGAACTCGGTGATTTTTAGCTAGATAGCCAGCAGGCATAATTCAATAGTGAACCTCTACAGATAAATTAAACGCTGGAGAAGACTTGCTATCATGTGATGGCTGTATCAGTGACAAAGATGTATGTATTTTTACACGTTAGCATAAAATTTGATACCTAGTATTGCTGAAAATTCAGTTCATTCCGATATACATGTAGAAAAACTCTGCCAATAGTAATTTAGTTAATTGACAAACATCGTTAAGTTGTAGATTTGTTGGTATTGTTATTAGGAATGAAATCTTCACGTTTCTGTACATAAAAGAAAAGTTTGTTAAAGAACAGCATCTGGTGTCTATAACTAATAGGCATTCCATATGTATTACAACGAAAAGGATTTCCGTGTCTGAAAAATTCTTACATGTATATAAAATGATCCTTGAATCTAACTAATGTATAATTGTATGTATTGTTTGCGTGTGGAGGGGATAAACTTGCATCTCTAAAACCATGGTACATGTATATACTTAAAAGACTCATATTTTATGAAAAATTGACCTCTTCATTTTATACATTTCTATTTAACATAGAATTTGCCTTTTCAATAAAACTTCTGAAAAATGACAATTATTGTTCCCTGGGTGACCTCGTCCCCCATCCATCTGTTTGTAACCATTAGGCCATTCGTTTTTTAAGGTTTGCTGTACTTTTAAGATGTAACACCTCGTTTGGACAAATTCAGCGTTATCTAAACTGAGATTTTACATTTCAGATGTATATGTTTCGGAATTTTTCTAACACTTCCTTTACATAATGACCGCTAACTTTGAATACCGCACACCGTTGCAGAAGTATTGGAAGTACGGAAACACAAACCAAATAGCTGTTTTGAATAATGCAGCAACAGAATATATTTTACAACAAAGCAAACACCAAATAAACATATAGCTTTCTTGAAAGTCCACAAAACGGGGAGTACAACAGCTCAGGGAATCTTCCTTCGTTACGAACTCAAAAGGAATTTAACTTTTGTTGTTGCCAATAATAAATCAACTTATCCTAATGTTATCAGTATAGAAGAATCAGTTATACCAGGATACAATATCATTCCACCTCCTAAAGGTAAAAGGTACGAAATATTGTGTTTCCATGTTGTTTATAACCGTTCTGCTTTTGAAAGAATCATGCCAAATGATACAAAATACATAGGAATTGTCCGCCGAGAACCGTTTCTGCAATTTAAATCCATCATTCGGGATTTTCATCATGGTGAACAAAACAGACATGCTCAATTCCTTCGTCATTTTCTTCAGAATTCCACTCTGTCTGAAAAACAAGGAAACAACAATCCAGTAACATCCGTTTTAAATAAAAGAATGGCCTTTGAATATAATTTTCCATTGCACCTTTTTTATTCTTTCAGCTCGCACGAGGTGAAGCAATATATTTAGAGAAACTTGATAAGGAATTCGACCTTGTCATTATAAATGAGTATATGGACGAATCAATCGTACGTTTAAGATGAATGTTAAACTGGAATGTTAAGGATGTTCTATTTGTCAATCTGAATGTTAATCAAGAAAGTTCAGACTTGAATGAAGTTGGACTGAAAGAAGTTCGTTTATATCGACAGTATGCTTAACTCGATCACGAATTATACCATTTCTTTCTAAAACGTCTATGGAAACAAATTCATTCTTATGGACATGATATTCTAGAAGAAATTTCTTATTATAAATTGTTAAGAAAGAACTTGGAAAACTTTTGCAATAGCAAAGAAACACCAATATTGATAGTAGAAGAATCGAGATGGAGTTTGTCATTTCCTGTGACTCAAAAGGACTGTAATTTTATGAGACAGGGAGAGTTTTGGTATCTTAACGAAATTATGAAGCAGCAATATTCCTAGACAGCTGAAAAATGACCGCCTTACTCCCCTTCCCCTTCTAAATCCTTCATTTCTTATTAATCGTATCAGGAAAGTCTATAGCAAAAACAAACGAATCAGCTAATATTTTCTCACATATTCCTCACCAAG